TGGAGCTCAGAACAGGTGGGAGCAGATCAGCCCTGGAATATTTGGAGTTCAGAACACTCAGGAGCAGCCCTGGAATATTTGGAATTCAGAACACTCTGGAGCAGCCCTGGAATATTTGGAGCTCAGAACACTCGGGAGCAGATCAGCCCTGCAATATTTGGAGCTCAGAACACTCAGGAGAAGCCCTGGAATATTTGGAGTTTGGAAAACTCAGGAGCATCCCTGGAATATTTGGAGCTCAGAACACTCGGGAGCAGCCCTGGAATATTTGGAGCTCAGAAAACTCAGGAGCAGCCCTGGAATATTTGGAGTTCAGAACATTCGGGAGCAGCCCTGGAATATTTGGAGCTCAGAACAGTCAGGAGCAGCCCTGGAATATTTGGAGGTCAGAACAATTGGGAGCAGCCCTGGAATATTTGGAGCTCAGAACACTCGGGAGAAGCCATGGAATATTTGGAGCTCAGAACACTTGGGAGCAGATCAGCCCTGGAATATTTGGAGCTCAGAACACTTGGGAGCAGCCCTGGAACATTTGGAGCTCAGAAAACTCAGGAGCAGCCCTGGAATATTTGGAGTTCAGAACACTCGGGAGCAGCCCTGGAATATTTGGAGGTCAGAACACTCGGGAGCAGACCTGGAATATTTGGAGCTCAGAACAGTCAGGAGCATCCCTGGAATATTTGGAGGTGGAAGGAATCTGGGAGGCACAACTGCGCATCTCCAGAGAAGATTCCGGATCTGCCTGTGTGGAGACGAGTCCCTGCTGTTGGCTCAGCCCAACAATTCCCTGCCTGTGCCGTGGGAATTTATGGACTCTGAGTCGGGCTTTAATGATCCCGAAAACAGCCTCGTTTTCACTTAGTCCTGAGCCTACTGAGCTGGGAAGGAATCCTGTGGGATACTCGGGATGCGGCAGGAAAGGGATTTATGGGGCCCCTCTGGGCCAGAACTGTTTTTAAGCCTGTCCTATGGCCCTTTCCCTCTCTCCCCTGCTTAAGCCAGGCTTAAAATCCTTATTTAATTAATGTTGGGGTGTAAATATCCCAATGAAAACCCAGGTCAGTCGGGAGGGGGATTCCTGGGCTGGGTTCTGCCGTGGCCCCTTCTGTGGTGAGGGACGATCCCAAAAGGCTTTCCCGTGGATTCCCATCCAGGCAGGCGGGATCAGAGCTCCTCTCCTTCCTTCCTCTGCTCGAAACCTGCTCATCAGTCCTCGAGAATTGTTAATTCTTAATAATATTCCTGATAATTAATTATCAGGAAGGAGTTCTTGTCACCTTCTGCTTCCTTGGAATCAGAAAGGAATCATGGCATGGGTTGGAAGGGACCTAAAATCCCAGTTTTACCCCAAATCCTGCTGCTTTTCCCTAAAATCTTGCTGGTTTTCCCCCAAATCTTGGTGTTTTACCCTAAAATCTTGTTATTACCCCAAAATCCTGCTGCTTTACCCTAAAATCTCATTTTTACCCCAAAATCCTGGTGGTTTATGCTAAAATCCCAGTTTCACCCCAAATCCTGCTGCTGTGCCCCAAAATCAAGTTGGTTTACCCTAAAATCCCAGTTTTACATCAGATCTCGCTGTTTTACTTCGAAATCTTACTCTTTTGCCCAAAATCCCACTTGTACCCCAAATCCTGCTTGTTTACCCTAAAGTCTTACTGTTTTACCCTAAAATCCCAGTTTTATCTCAGATCCTGGTGTTTTACCCTAAAATCTCATTTTTACCCCTAAATCCTGCTGCTTTACCCCAAAATCTTGGTGTTTTACCCTAAAATCCCAGTTTTACCCCAAAATCCTGCTGCTTTACCCTAAAATCCCAGTTTTACTCTACATTCCTGCTGTTTTGCCCCAAATCCCAGTTTTACCCCAAATCCTGCTGCTGTGCTCCAAAATCCTACTGGTCTTACCCTAAAATCCTATTTTTACCCCAAAACCTGCTGCTTTACCCCAAAATCCTACTGTTTTGCCCCAAATTCCAGTTTTATCTCAAAATCCTGCTGCTTTATGCTAAAATCTTAGTGTTTTACCCTAAAATGCTGCTGCTTTACCCCCAAATACTTCTGCTTTACTCCAAAATCCAGCTCTTTTGCCCCA